GCTACCACCTTTTCTTTTTAAGATCTTTTCAGTCACTAAAAGCTAACAGTTATTAAAAAGCTCACAAAAGTAACACCCCGACCCCGTGAGACCCGAGGTAGTTACTCCGAACCAATAGTACTGTCCTCACAAACCGCCACTAGCCTTTTACGCGCACTTTGTGCTCACTCATGCGTGCCCTGAGCTCTCTTAAAAGGAGATGCACCTTGTTGGTATGAGTAGTACTATTAATCCATTTATATTAAATCTCAAGTGTTACAATCACCCCCACTTAGGATCGCAACGTCCTCGTTGCGCCCTTAAACCAATCTGAATCAAACCCCAGAATCGTTTCCCCTGCTAAGTGTTTGCCAGATATCCAACAGATCAACACATTGTCGCAGGGTTGCTCTGATACCATTTCTAACACCCCGACCCCGTGGGACCCGAGGTAGTTACTCCGGACCAATAGTACTGTCCTCACAAACCGCCACTAGCCTTTTACGCGCACTTTGTGCTCACTCATGCGCGCCCTGAGAAACTTCGCAGGGGGTCACCCATCCCGAGACTACTCCCGTGCAAGCACGCTTAACTTTGGAGTTCTTGGCTAATGAGCTCCTTTAAAAGGAGATGCACCTTATTGGTATGAGTAGTACTATTAATCCATTTATATTAAATCTCACGTGTTACATCCTAAATAGGACTGGAAAATGGAGAGAGGTGAGTTTGAATGTTCGAACCAAGAGATGTTATCAAGTTCAAATTTCTGCGACATTCCAGACTGCACCTCCATCGACATCTTTCTGAATGATATCCTCAAGGATAACACTGCTTGCACTCATACCCACACTTGCAACCCGCCCGGCCCGGATACGACCCATACCCACACCTGTTACCATGCCCACACCAAAATTGTTCCGGCTGCAAGTACGGATGACAGTTTCGAATCCACTGACAAGAGCTCGAAACCGCCCACGGGGAATCGGGAGGCTGTGCGTAAGTATAGGGAGAAGAAGAAGGCTAGGGTTGCGTCTTTAGAGGATGAGGTGATCAGACTTAGGGCACTAAATCAGCAGCTATTGAGGAGAGTACAGAACCAGTCCATGATGGAGGCTGAGATTTCTCGTCTTAAGTGTTTGCTTGTTGACATTAGAGGGAGAATTGAGGGTGAAATTGGATGCTTTCCTTACCAGAAGCCATTGAAGAAGAGTGGAGAGAGTTATCAGAACATGGGTGTTGATGATATCAACCTTTCCTCTGAAGGATTGTATGTCATGAACACTTGTAATGTGCAGTGTGGCGATGGGGTCGATGTTGGAGGATTCAATGACTGTAGCTTTGAGAATCCTGATTGTGGATTGATGAGGAGCTTGCCTAATGGAAATGGTTCTAGAGGAAGGAAGAGGAAAGGTAAGAATTTTACCATTTGTTTCTTGATGCATACAAAATAAATCTGAACTTGACACCAGTACATTGTTTGCTAAAGGAATCTGTTTTTCTTGATTCTTTGGGGCTTTGGGCTATGTTTGAACCCTTCAAAATGCTAGGGAGGAGAAAAAAAATGCTAACGACAGTTAATTTCTAATGCTTGGGCCTACAACGTGAATTGAAAAATAATTGATGCTTTTGAAATGCTTATATGCTTAGATTATTTAGTTTATGATGGGTATGAATAGAGAAAAATACAATTTTGAACAGATAATCAAAATAAATTTATTAAGTTACGAAGCATGCTGTCAATTGCAGTGTTTCCCTAAACATTTTCTTCCTTCCAAAGCTCTCCAATACTTTCCTCCGTGTTTCATTTCCCACCGTTTTCCACGTTCCAAGCAGCTCTTTAGACACTTCTATGGAAAATGACTTCCCATTTTGAAAACAAGAAGCTATTTCTCTGTAACACTTAAGTTTGCTATTCGTGGGAATCGTGGGTCAACCATTATGTTCGATGTAGAACACCATCTTTATGAGATACTTTTTTAAGATTGGGATGAGCTTTATGACTTAGTAGGGTTTAATATTGTTACTTTTTATTTTAAAAACACCCTATTTCACGGTTTTCACCCCTTTAAAACTGATTAAAACCAAAAATATCCCAAAATATCTTGTGCAGACCATCCAGATTTCATTAGCATCGCTATAGCGTCCGCGACAAACGCTATTGCGCCCGCTATTACCGCAGCATCCAACCATTCCGATACGGAGTTTTTAGTGCCAGGGTACCGCTCCACTTCCCCCCACCACTGTTGTGCGCTATTGACATCACTGGTCTGGCAGAATAAAACATATTCAGGAAAAAATTTATACTCAAGAATTGTTTTTACCCCGGGGGATCAGGGGGATCAGGGGGATGGGGGGGCCTGGGGACCGCAGGCTGGGTAAACAGGTTAAAACTCTATTCATGGAGTTTCAAACCCGAACTTCCCGTATGAGAGAGTGAGTCGGGGACCAGTCTCCGCAGAGCTGGACCTCTTGCTCAACTCAAGGAAATATTTACCTGCAATTCTTGGAAATCATGTGAGAAAATGACTCCCCAATTTGAGAACATTTTTAAAAAGTTTTAATTTTTAGAGATGTATTGGGTGATTGGGTCATACAATATATTATACACAGAACAACTTATGTTTTAGGAAAATAAGTTGTTTTCACGCAATCGATGAAAATCTGACCATCTTAATAAGAATTGTGTGCTGAAGAACATTAGCGGAGCAACGGTGAAGAACCGGACATTCTTGTCGAGCTGCTTACATGTACATTAATTAAGAAGACAAGCCCACACACACACACGTCCTTTTTCTTACTTTATGGAATAGGTTAAGTGCATAATAACAACCTAGTTTTTGTTTACTGTGATAGGAGCACCGCGTGTTGATAGTTGAAGAAGCAACATACAACTCGGGAGAAGGCCAGAAGTGCTTGCTGCTTCTGAGATTGATTGGTCACTGTGGATGAATGTTTTTAGTATTTTATGTGCTGCCATTTCAGCAGAGCTCTTATAATAAAGAGTCCAGTTAAAGTTGGTTCTCTGAAACATTTCATAGTGATTCCTTCTACATGATGGTGGGTGGGTGGCTATGCAGTATCTACTATGTTGTACATTAGGATTTCTTTGTTCTCCTTTTCCCTTTTCAACCAATTAACTTCTTCCTACCCCGGCTTGGTAAAATGACTAACATATCCGGAGCAGAAGAGTTTCTCAGGTAGAGTCAAATTTGGTTGCAATGGCGGAACTTGATTATATTGTGTTGTAATTATCTAAAACTGTACTAGTATTCGACCTTATTTTTGAGAAAAAACGAATTAAATGAAATAGTGCATAACATACTATGGTAGCAATTCCATTCAACATCATTTCAGTAAAATGGTAACATCTGCATTACCTATTACCATGGGAGTGCATATGTTTGATTTTACTTTTGAAGAGTGGTTTATTTTAGAGATTATATGTAAAGTGATTCAAAATAAAAGTTGACAGTGTTGTGATTTTGAGAAAGTAAAAGTTGGGGAGTATTTGGTGGAAAAGTATTTTTTTGTGTGTAATAGAAAAAATGAAAAGCATCTAAAATTACATGTGTGAATTACATGCGTGGACTAGACGGTATAAGATTCAATCAACTCGTTTCATAATTTTGGGTGCATAGAGATGACTTTAAACTGATTAATTGCAAGTAGAAGCACTCATTTGAAAACACAATTTTCAGTTCTTTTGAAGCACTCGTTTAGCTTTTTCATGTCATAGCGAACACTCCCTAAATGGTTCAGCTACTCGTAACTTCTAAAACTTGTAATGTCTGCATTTTACTATGTCATTCTGAAATAGAATTCATAGAATATGTCAATGTGCTTCCTTAGTCCTTACTCCACAAGATGCTTATTATACTTTAAAGATTTTAGCACTCTTCTGAATTACAATTACGTAGTGGTGTAGTACCTTCTTTAGATGAAAGTTTTGAATATATATTTCATTTTTCTTTTATAGTGAATATATAAATATACAATCGTATCAAATTACATAATCCTCTAAAACATCTCTTTCCTCTGTCTTTCCCTTTTAAAATATACGTTTCTTGTCACTTTTCATTCATTCACTCTAGGGGTGGGCGCAGTCCGGTCCGGTCCGGTCCAATATTTGGCCGAACCCGTACCCGTACCGTTATTATTCAAACGGTTCGGTTCGGTTCGGTCTTAGACCTAAACCCATTCGGTACGGCTTCATTTTGAAACGGGACGGTATCATGCCACACCAATATCAAACAATGTCACTTTTTTCAAGTGCTTAAGTGGAAATTAAAGTTTATTCATCCTCCAAAAATCGACACAATTTATCAATTTTCATACTCATTTTATCCCAAATTGACATGCAAAGTCAATATTTTTTTGTCAACCATGTTAAAGTTAAATTCTCTTTATTGATAATTGATTTATTTTTTAATAATTAAAATAAACATATTCAAAAAGTACATTGAAATCTCTTTAAGGTTGCAAGCTCCAAATTAAATATAATTAAAAAGTGAGATTCTAGTTAAGTGAATAAAATGAATCTGTTTGACCAAGAAAAACTAATTTTGCAAATCAATTTGGAATGAATGTAGTATTTTACATAATTAATAAATTTCAGATAAATTATAGTAGTACAAATATAAATAATTAAACCATACATCGGTCCGATTCCAGACTTCATATGAATTAGCAAAGACGGTGAAAGTGTGAAGACAGTAGTCAGAGTAAGGGTATAAATTTAAATTTAAATCATTGAATCATACTTCGGTCCGGTTCGGTCCGGTACCGGTTCTCATTTTATGAGAACCGGTCATGGCATTGTTTAGAATCGGTACGATTCGGTTCGGGACAAAAAAAATTGAGATCCGTTTCAAACCCCGTTTTTCGGTCCGATACCATATCGGTTTGGTTCGGTACCATGCCGGTCGGGTATTTTTGTCCACCCCTAATTCACTCTATTCTATATCCTGGTAAAATTTTCTCATAAAGTTAAAAAAGAAAAACAATAGAAGCAATTGATATGACAGATGGGAGGTATGTTGTCAATTTCAACCGTTACAAAACTGATCACTATTTTAAACAAACTACTCGTAGTTAGGAGTTTGTTTTGTCACAACTACTATTTCTCCTCAGTACTAAAACTATGAAAAGAAAACGAACTAAATCAAAGATAAGTATGAAATAAAACACATCTGATCCAAGAATGATAGCTGGCTGGGGTTATGTCATATACTCTAGTATGTAAATTACTGATGAGTAGAACATTATTCCATGATTCCATCACATGATAGCACAGGCAGCTGGGTTATCATCACTGAATGCAGTGGTGTATTGAACTTCAGTGGAAGAGGCGCGCGCTAGCTGGTACACCTGCGGATCCTCTGCCCTCCGGACATACCCGGCCGGAGCCTTTTTGTCGTACACCCCCTGGGCATAGGGATGTGCCACGACTCCGTACGGGACATACGGCCAGATCTCTACCTTCTTCCCTGTCCGGTATGCCACTCGAGCCACCACTTTGTCAGCGTCCACGTAACCGACAACGGTGAGCTTGTGCTGCTTCGGCTCCACCTGGATTGAGCTCACTCCCTTCATCCCCTCCACAGACCTCCTCACTTTCCTCTCGCACCCTTCACAGTCCATCTTCACTCTTATCTCCACCGTCTGATCGTCGAATCATGCATACATTTACAACATGTTAAGCATTCCACGTACATTGATCCATTATATCTAAACACAAAGATCGATCGAGTTACCTGGAGTTGCCTGCGGTTCTTGTAGCGGCGGGAGCGGCCAGTGGTGCAATCGAATTTGTCGTAAAGGTGATCGAGAATTCCCATTGTTGTACTTTAGGAGATGCTAATTGATTAAAATAGAAAGAAGTCAAGAAGTTTAATGAATTCAAATGTGGAGACAAGCAATTCAAGCAGCTTTTATAGTGTCAAGGGCGAGGAAATGAGGGTGGGAATTTCATAGCCAGGAAGCAAGCAGCTAGGCGTGATGGGGAGGAACGTGGCATTTAATGATTGGTTGGAGTAGGAGAGATGAAGCACCGCCCGCACAGACCAGTGGCCGGATATCGACGTACGTGAGTGAGCTAGCTAGCGACCGGTCTTCCGGAGGAAGGGGACGTTACTTTACTCTAATTCTATTATTTAATTACAAAAAAAACTATTTGTGCGCACTTTTTTGTACACACCATCTTACACGCGTTTATGAGCATGTTTTGTCCGTAGACAAGCTATTCACAAACAAAGAAATAAGAGAAAATTTCGATAGAGTAAATTTCATAATAGGACTGTCATTTTGTATTACCTCCAAATTTCAAATCATTTTTACTTCTATTTCGAACACTTTTTAAGGAAATAATCCGTAACTCTTTTCAAACGTGGGTAAGATAGTGTTTGTAAACACTATCTTACAAACGTTTGAAAAGAGTTACAGACTATTTATTTATTTATTTATTTAATTAACGCTCCATTCTCATGTCTGAATGCCCGCCCATCTCTTTTTGTAAAAGAAGATTGAATACAAATTAAAGGCGGCCATATCTATAGACTACAATTAATTACGGAGTATTCTATATAATATTAAAATAAAAGTGCAAGACTAATTAGTACTCCGTAGTGGATACAGTCATAAAGAGCTGACCTGGGCCCATCAGAAGAGCTTCGTATGTAGATGCTCGTACCATAATACGTATAATGATGTGAATGGATAATTGGATAAGGGAAGAAGGGAAGAAGTAGACCCGGAAAATGAGTTGAATATAGGTTCAAATCTGCGGGAGATCTTTGGGGATACGATTAAAGTTGAGATTATACTTGGCCATGTCATAAACTCGTGGGATTGAAAGGGATTTGTAACGATAATAATACTAGAGCGTAGGGAAAATTGATGGAATATGATTAGAACCTAATCCGTATCTCTAAATATGTATACTAAAATTAATATATTTTTGAGCCAAAAATAACAATATATTAATTGAAAATATGTTGAATACAAGAGGGAATAGAAAATAACGAAGTATGTAAATCAGCCTGAGAATTCGTTGCCCGAGCCAAGGTATGAGCGAACAAATTCGGTGATCTATGAATAAAGTAAAAAGAACCAGAGTGTCTATCTAAAGACTGACAACTAGCAATAATAGTACCCGCGTAAGATAAGTCTTGAGTAGGAGGAGAGTTGATAAGATGACACACATTAACGCATCCCGTCTCCACCTGAATATGTTTCGTTTTCATTCTTCATCCAAGAGAAAGCTTCTTTTACTGTCAATGCTTCCCCCGTGTGTGGATCATTGGTACACCGGAGAGGACCATTCTAAGCTGCAATAAAATCTCCATTTGTCGAAAAAATGACAACTACAAAGTAGGCCTTTCCTGAATCGGGAAAACCGCAGCATAAACCTTACAGATCACCCCATTATTTGACTGTTGTAGAGTCAGATTCCGGGCCAGGCTGCACTATTTGCAGTGTTCTGGTTCAACAAATACCACTCATTCAAGAAGTTTAAGGTCATAAAATGCAGCTCCGAGGATCCCTATCTGATGGAACTATGGGACTAGGCCCAGAGACTAATCGGCACATGTCCCGAACTTGGACCGTGGGTCCCAAGCCCACAACCTAGAGCCTGCCTACCAGCCCGGCCGACCTGTCAGTCAGGAAGAGTAACAGTCAAGCAATTAATGTGATGTTTAGTAATGTATTTAATTCCGTATTAATTTTGTAGTTAATTAGTCATTATAATCGGTAGCGGTTACGATTTGTTATACGCCTATAAAAGGCATGTTGTAATTCAAATTAAAGGAAGCAATTTTCATATACTCCACTATTCTTGGCAACTAAAACCTCTTGAACACTTTCCATATTCGTACTTTCTATTTTTCTACTGAGTGTTCTATCGTAACTTTCCCGAAAAGCCTACGAACGTTCTATTTTGGAACAACACTATCGCTTGTCATTCCAAATGAGTTCATTAAGGGGTTTCCAAATAGTCCATAAGTATGCAACAACTTTCTTCATTTCGTCCTCCGAACCTGAATAAAAAATCCTAGCCAACCAAGGTATAAAGAGAGCACCATGTATAGGTTTTAAGTTTTGAAAATAAGTTGGCCACATGGTATGTGTTACACAACACTCCAGGTATATATGTTGCGTGGATTCATCGTCAGAATTGCAAAAGGGGCATATATGATATATCAACGAAATCAATACCTCTGCTACGAAAAGTACTTCGTACGAGAAGAACACGATGCCAAAGTTCTCAGAAGTACACCGCCAAATAAAGTTCAGAAACTTGGGAGGTATTTTAAGCCGCCAAAGTTCCAATCAAGTGGTAAATGGGGAATCGTACAGTTATATTTACTTGTGTTTAACCTAAGTATTTATAAGTAATTGTTGAAGAAAAAAAGAAATATAGGACAAATACTTTCAGAATGAGAGCAAAAGCATAAAACATTGTGATGAACGGCTTTTGGGACCAAGAGGATGACGTACTGCCCGTAATTTGAGTATAACTTATTGTAGAGAATTCCAAATGACTTGATTCAAAGTTCATGTGAATAATAATTCAATAAGCTACAAATGTTGTGAAGACATCATGGCCAGAATATGAAAGGATCGAGACTCAATCAACCAATAAACTCAGATGTTGCTGATAGGATTTCAGGATGCATACCTCTGCATTTTTATCCATATCTTTTGATTGGATGAATAAAGTCACGTGATTCAAGTTTTGGTGGATAGAAGACTTCATTGTATCCAACTTTAGTGAATAAATCATATCCAAATTCGTAGCGGAACATCCTCAAAATCCCAGGACAAAACCGGCGCCGGAATTGCACCAAATCAACGCTGATGTGATGATTTTTGCACATAGATCGCAAACCAGTAGTTTAACCGACGCCGATCTGCCCTTATAATCGGCGCCAGTTATGTCGTTTTTCAAAAAAATTCAGTACGCAAAGAAGAACCGACACCGGTCAGGTCTGAAACCGGCGCCGGTTAGTTCGGATTTTTGCGCAAAATACAGCGACGTGCTTCATATTTTTTATGGGAAAACTTCATCTTCTTCACGATTTCATCAAATATTTCTTCCATACCGAATTGTTGGGCTCGAATAGACCAAAATATGTCATTCTTTTTAGCCTATATAAAGCCCTCAATTCATCATACAAAAGCATTCCATTCCATAGATTAATTCCTAGTTTTTATATTTGGTTCTTGCTATTTTTCTTCAAGTTCTTGAGCAGGGAAGTTCATCCTCCAAAATCATTGGTGTTTAGGTATTATATCCTTTGTAATTTCATGTTCCATTACATTTCATTATTGTATTGTGATTAATATGAGCATTAGAGTCTAATTCTTAGCTAAGGCTAGGTATGAACTTCTATGCCCACAAGGTGTTTGATAAAAGTTCTAAACCAATAAATTGTGATTTATCCTTTATACTTTGATTGTTTATGACTATGGTGTACAACATAGAGTATGTTAAATTTAGTTTATGATTGCAATTAACGTTGAAGTCTAAACTATGAACATTAAAGGATAAACATATATATTACCGATAATAGAAATATATCCAGTATTATATGATACGGGTGTGATGTGTTGATATTCAATGGGGTTTTCAATAGATGAATGTAAGACTTAACGGGACTTACACGTAACGAAAATCACGCTCTCGCTGCCTTAACTGGAGTTGAGAATATATTAGCGATTTAGCGACATCGTATTCATAATTATTGGTAAAGAACTAATATTTAACCCTATTAAAGCATTTAAGTGATTCCCGAAGTCTTAGTTGTTGTTATCAATCACTTTAAACTCAAATTAATTTAAGTTATATCCTTGAAAATTAAAGAGAAGAACCAAGTTGTTGTTTTCACAACAACACACAAATCAAAATCCCTACACTTTACTGATTTATCTATTTAAGGTTATCTACTCTCGAACTAAATTAAACAACGTTTCCCTGTGGATTCGACCTGGTATTTATCAGAATTTATTACTATATCAGCACTTGTACACTTGCAAGTTTAGTCCGGTCAAATCGCACTAAGGCTGGGAAGTAAATACAACTTTATAACCTTGTCTGACTGAGTTAAGCCTTTAAAATCAGCTCTCCAACACCATTTGTTAAGACTCGGGTTTCATTCTAAAAGGTCAACATGATATGAGGAGTAGCCCAAAGTCTTATATAGTGTTTTATTGTTTTATAGCTTTCTGGTGTGGAACAAAATTTTAACACGCTCACTCAACCCGAAATAGACTGGACAATACTGGGGTGTATAAATGGGCCAAAAATACCTTTAACAAACTACCTTTAATCATGGTTGCTAAACAAACCGTCAAATTGCAACTGTACTTTGCTCTGATACCATGTTAAGACCCGAGATTCCACCCTAAAAGGTCAACTCTTGTAAGTCGTTGATGCCCTCCATGTCACTTGTCTATATAGCAAACATAATACAACCAACAGGGCCGTCTTTAGTTGGTTTGATGCCCTAGACAAAAACTAAAATTGCATTTTCACACTATAAAAACACGGATTTGACAGAGATTTTTGGAAAGGGTTCTCCAAAATTGGCATAGAATTACCAAATTTGTGCCAAAAATAGTTTGGCACGAACTATTTTGCACGAAATTATCGATAAATTCGTGACAATTCCGTAATTTTTTGTTGTGTCATACAATATTAGTCAGTAATGTTTTACACCTTAATTATGTACTCCATATATAGTACTATAGTATTTGATAAAAAGTAACAAATTATATATTTTTTAAAACATTATCTTTGTAGTACATAATCACTTTGTATTACGAAATTCTGAATATTTCATAGTGTATAAATTAAGAACACGGTTTTTTTCCTTAATCAATTATAAATTATATTGAATATAATATAGTAAAACGTACATAGCAATTACTAAAATTGTACTTATACAAGAAAATAGATTGAATTTTTACTAATAAATAAAACTTTTTCATTGTTTCTAAAGCACTTAGAAGGTTTGAAATTTCTTTTTGAAAACTTTGTTTTTTGAAAACAGAAGGTTTGTAGGTAAGGATGGTAAGGTAGGGTAGGGTGGGTGGATCGGGGTAAGGTAGGGTAGGGAGGGTAGGGGTAAGAGGTAGGGTGGGGTCAGGATGGGCCCGATGTGGTAGGGGTTGGGGGTTGGGGTGGTGAGGGGACCTAGGGGTAAGGGCCAAAGGTTGGGGTCGGGGTAAGGTAGGGCAGGAGGGGGAAGGGGTAGGGTGGGGCGGGTGGGGCCGAGGTAGGGGTAGGTGGATCGGGGTGGGACCCAAGGTGGGGGCATGTGGTAGGGGGTAGGGTACGCTTTGTGGTGTATAAATAGTATATTTGATTTGTCATGTGTGAATGCCTAATGGGTTTAATTTGTAAATTTTCAAATGCTAGTAGATTCTTGTTTGTTTGTTTTTTGTTTAACTTTATCGATATTGCAGTTATGGAATATTTATTGGAATTCTCAATTTACAACTAATCAAATTACATACTTTGTATTTTGTTAAGGATATTACTAGTATATGGAGTATATTGTTAAGAATTCCACTATTATGTACTCCATTGGTCCCCATAACTTTGCCCCGTTTTATATATTTCATCGGTCCAATTAAGTTTGTCTCATACCATATTTGGTAATATTTGAGTTGTTAGTGTTAATTCTTACTTTTTCACATTTTATCAATTCAATATCAAACACACAATTCTGCTTTTTCTTAAAAGGCACTCCACACTCATTTGTCCCAAATGGGGGGGGGGTAGTATTTGTTTAATTTTTAGCACTATGGTTCCCAATTTTTTGTCGATTTCAAATGAGGAAAAGGAAATCACCTATTGAACCATTAACTCAAGTCAAGCCGAAAACATGAATAAATACTTGATTTCAAGTAAAAAAAGCCACTTCAGAGAGTACATATTCGCAAAATGTTCTCCAACCTACATAGATTGTGCAGACTTGATCAGTACTTTTGCAGCTAAAACTATTAGACGAGTTGTACTTAATTAGTTTTTAATACTGCCTCCGTCTCGAAAACAAGTTCCCGGGTTGACTTTCACACATTTTTAGAAAATAAATTTACTGAGGGGTAAATTTTACTGCTTCGACACTGTTTTGACACTACTTTGCACTGTTTGACACTGTTTTGCACTATTTTGATGTAGATAATTTGGCAAATAAGGAAATGAGAAGTTTATTTTGGGACATCCAAATAAGGAAAGTGAGAACTTGTTTCCGGGACGGAGGGAGTACATTCAGTATCATTTCGTTATAATGTAAGACTTGTATTTAAAAATTACGTTTTTTGATATTTAATCATTAATTTTTAATGAGTCTATACGATGAACAAACACTATGTATAGGGCCCATTCTAAGAAACTCGACTGGGGCTCGAGTTTAGGTAGGAACAACACTGCACACTAATATTTTAAACATTTTTTTAACATTAAAACATACATCTATTCATATCAAAAGATTTAAAATAAAAGAATAATAAAATTACAACTTAGGTCCGTTTTCTTTTTTTGATACGCGTGAAAAGATTTAGGGCCTGTTTGGATGGAGTGTTTGGAAGTGTTAGCAATGGAAGTGTTAGTAAGTGTTAGTAAGGGCTCGGAAGGGAAGGGAAGTGTAAGTGTTAGACATAATTTTACCTTGTTTGCGAGAGTCAAATGAATGAAGTGTTAATAATGTAAGTGTTAATAATTTTACCGTGAGGCAAAAGAAACGAGTAAAGAGAAGAGATGAAAAAACAAACCATCAAACCCGTGGGAAAGACATTCGAAGTGAAATGTCGAAGCATTTTATGTTTTTCAGGTAAATGAGAAGGGTAATAATTGTCCAACACCTCAAAACACTCCAAACCGGGATGTTAAAAAATGGACAATTGAGGTGTTGGGAAGGTTATTATTAACGCTTCCTAACCATTACTAACACTTATTAACACTTCTGGATTTTTCTCCCAAACAAGTGTTAGCATCAACACTTACTAACACTTCCATTACTAACACTTCTCAACACTCAATCCAAACAGGCCGTTAGGTCCTTTTTCAATTCTATAATGATGCATCAGTAAAATTCTTATTGGGCGTTGCTACGCGCACCCCTGGTATTACTTTATGTAACCCAGCTATGACAATATTGACCTGTTCACTTACGGAGTTTTCAATTAAGATTAATTAACGTAGTTACATAGGAAGTTAACTACTTAGGAAGTTTAATAGTTAATGCGCCAATTAAGATTAATTAACGTAGTTACATAGGAAGTTAACTACTTAGGAAGTTTAATAGTTAATGCGGCAATCCCCCTACCATGTCAATTTTAAAATTGACTTCTCAACCAATTTGTTGTCACGTGGCAAATTATTTTATATAAAGTATAATAATATGTAAATTTTGAAGCCGGGTCGGTCTCATCTAGTTCATGTGTGTTTTATGTGTAATATACAACTATTGGAGTTTGATTGACTGATCTGGTCTAGGGAGGACGGTCAAAACATCTAAAGCTCGTTTCGTGACCTTGTTTTTCGGTTTATCAGAACTATAAAAAAAACTAAAGTTGATATTATTTTTCGCGCGCTGAATTGTGTAATAATGAGAAAAAGTAAGGTTGGTGTTACTTTTCCGAATGTATTAGCTGAAGGGTATGTTTGGCACAACTAGCTGAAAAGATACTTTTGTGAGCTTTTAAATAACTGTTAGCGTGTAGTGACTGAAAAGATCTTAAAAAGAAAAGGTGATAGCTGTTTGCTAAGAAGCTGACTGTTTGATTTAGTTCGGTTTGGTATACAAGCTGTTAGGCCTAATTAATACTAAAAGTCACGGGCTTTTTTCAGATGCTACTGCATGTAGCATCTCAAAAAAGATCTTTTAATTTTTGAAAAGCTCTTATAAATTGTCATGCCAAACATATAACTAGAAGCTTTTAGAGACTTTTTAAACATTACAAAAGCTAGAAGTCAGAGACTTATGTCTGCCAAACATAGCCGAAGTTATTGTAGATGATAATTTTAACTATTTTTCATATATTTTTTATTTATTTTATTAATAAAAGTATTTTAAATATATTTTTTCATAAACCAGCAGAATCGGTCAATCCAGTCACTTCAACAACAATTTTAAAAAAATTAGTAGAATTAACCAATTCAACTAATTTCAGTGTTTCAAAGAGGCTCCTAAATTCTGTCAAAAACGCAATGGAGAGCACTCCACCGAACGATTTGTACTTTTTTAAATGAACAAAAAGCAAACAATGTCTACTAATCTGTAATACAGAAAACATAATAATAAACTGATACCAAGTAAAACTTATACAATTATACTTCGAAGTTGCAAAAAAGGCGTCAAATAAGTCCTTATAAAGAAGATTATGTCCGGACGTGCCATTTGAGGTGGCTCCCGGTGGAATTTTGTGATAATTTTTTTTAGCATCTTGTTTATGAAGTCTAGTTTACTCATACCAAATTTCAGCTAAAAATTCAATCGGGAAGACATTCAAATGAATTCTTGAAGATAACAGCGCTTTTAACGGCACAGTTATCTTCAAGAATTCATTTGAATGACTTCCCGATTGAATTTTTATCTGAAATTTGGTATGAGTAAACTAGACTTAATGAATAAGATGCTAAAAAAATTCATCAAAAAATTCTACCGGGAGCCACCTCAAATGACACGTCCGGACAGAATCTTCTATATAAGGACTTATTTGACCCCTTTTTTGCAACTTCGAGGACCAAACTGACCCTTATCCCATTATACTCCGTATCCAAAGAGCACGGTCAACAAAAACACAAATAAAAGGAAGAGGGCAAATATGTCCGGTTTTGAAAAAAATGAGGTGCGCCCAGCATAGTTTGAGGTGCGAGAAGTCCGTCCGTTCTTATTTTAAGAGATATTACCCAAAATGGGACTAAAAAAGTTTGGAAATTCCAAAATAAGACTTTCATGTTTTTATTCCCAAAATAGGACTAATTACTGTCATGTTTTGGCAGTACCAGACTTCAAACATGGCAGTATATTCCAACTTTGGCAGTAATTAGTCCTATTTTGAGAATAAAAACATGACAGTCCTATTTTAGAATTTTCAAACTTTTTTAGTCCCATTTCGGGAACTTTCCCTTATTTTAATCCTCTAAGAAAACTTTTCCTTCAGCGATTCCGAATTCGGATTGCCCTTTCACTTGCTACTTGGACTTTGGAGACGTACTCAGAGGCTTCAGAGCTGCCGTCTTAGCGAGTTGGGAGTTGGAATAGAGGAGAGAGGATAGACTGGTACGCTGTTGCCGCTGCACTTCTGCCCCTTCTTGTGCGCCTCTTTCTTATTACGTACTACGTAGTAAGTAGTCCTCCTACTTGATTGGCTATTTAGCTTTTTACTTATTTATAGATTGTATATATGTGTAATAGTTTTTTATTTAGTTATTAAATTGTTATTCTGTGATTGACTGATTTTGTGTAATCAGTCAATCCATTTTAACCCTGCACTTTGTTTAAACTTGTTATATAATTAAATTGTGATTGTGTGTTTGTGATAACATTTGTTGGGTAAAAAATTTGATTTTTTGAAATTTATATATTTAATTAATTTCAAGGTATATTAAACTGTTGTCTCAGTAGAAATAAGTTTTTTAAAGGTGAAGATTATAAAAAATTATCTGCTGTTAACGATGTTTCAAATAAAGGCTTAATGGATTAGCAATAAAATTATTGAGCATAATGTGTGAGAAAAGGTTGATTATGGAGCTATAGCTATGATTTTGCTTCACAATGCTCAGCAAGAAATGCATCTTCTTTTTTTCACTAATTGGTTTGTTGGATTCTTGGTATTCATTTTATCAGCATGAGGGCTGAAATGGATTCAGTTAAACAACATAAAGTACGTCAATACGAGGAGTTTGTGGATAAGCGTTTAAAACCAGATCTTGTTCGAGCTATTGCTGAACGGTACATATTAAGTTTATCCTTTCTTCGCCAAGTTTGGCAGTGAGTTGTTTTGCATTAGCTGTTAGTGCTTTATATTAGTTGTTTGATGTGACCTCTTTATATTAGACTTGTACCAAGTACCGACTGTTCACTTTAGATACTCGTAATAATTAATACAGAGGTAAAGAGCTTTTAGTTTCTTAAGTGCATAGGATGTACAATAGGAAGCTTTTTAGAAGGCTTTCTGTAAAGAACTCCCACCAATGCTTCTTGAAAATGTGATTTTAGTGTGACTAGCTAATTTGACAGGTTCAGAACCCATGACTAAATTAGCTGTTTGGCATAGTCAATCACCTAAATAATTATGTTAAAGCTAAAAACCCTTCAAAAAATCTCTTTACCAACACATAAGCTGTTTAACTTTGACATGGCCAGACAACTAAATTATATCATAAAAACTAAAAGCTCTTTAACAAAATTAGCTGTTTGACATGGTCAAAAAACTGATTCATATTGAAAAGTCTAAACACCATCCAAAGAGGTCTTTAACTAATAGGGCCCTTACCTTTTTGCATTTTCTTCAGGAGCTAATTGTGAAATTATATTTTAGGATCGTTGTTAATGTAACTATTGGTAAAATGAAACCATGACTATCATGAACATGATACCTGAGAATATTGTATCATATAGTGCTGATTGATTAGTTAATACTCCGTATATAAGTAATACAACTACAAAAATGTCTTAAGATTTTTCAAGCTTCTTTAGAAATACACTAACTTTTTTATAATAAATTGCTTTTGGGAATATGTGTGTATAATTATGCAGGGATAAGGTCTTTGATCAGCAAAAAACATTGTATCCTTTCATTTTTGTTTGCATCTAAATTATATTTAAAAGTCAGGTATATCATTCTTCCACTTGCAATTTATTGTAGTAGTTGTGGAGACTATTACATAATAGTCCACGCTGTTCCTTATCTGGTTGAAATATCCTTGACTCAAATATTGCTCATTAAGCTCGGATTTGAAAAGAAACATTGAGAATCTTGAGAAGAATAGTGTGACTAGCCTTAGGACACTGGTCAATCTGGGCTCTGAGGTTTACATGCAAGCTGATGTGTAAGTGCTTCACTTTTTTCTACTATATGCTACTCCGTATATTTTTGCGGGTTTAATGGGCTCTCTGTCATCCAACAGGCCAGACACTAGGCACATATTTGTGGATGTCGGGCTCGGCTTTCATGTCGAATTCACTTGGTCGGAAGCTCTAGATTTTATTTCAGTGAGGGAGAAGAAACTTGCTGGGTGAACTTTTTAGTAGTCTAATGACTATAGTTTTTTGTTTACAAACATCCAACGCCCTCAATGCTCTTAACTTCTCTTACCGTTTATATTTTTGGATCCAGGCAGATAGAGGAATATACTCGCCTAATTGCTGCAATTAAGGCACAGATAAAATTGGTATGTATTCTAATGCTCATTTGTTTTGCCTTTAAATCAAATATGCGCTATATCAGTAATGATATAAATCTTGGAGCCCTTTAATGAAATATCTATACTGCTAATTATTTAGAAGCTCGTTTAGTAGAGATGAATTTGATTGAGGTGACATAATTTGCTAAGATTGTCATTGGAGTGGTTATATGAGCTGATTGGATTGAGTTTTTAAAAAATTTGTAAAATGATTTCTATTAATTTAAAGTAATAGATTGAGAAGGTGCTAATTTTCAATTATAATCATGTAAGTCATTTTAGCATTGCCTTACTTTATTACATAGTATTATATAATTAAGACAAACTAGGCAAAGCTTCATCAGAAAATCGGCGCGACCCATAAGTTTCATAGTTTAGCAAATAATGCTTCAATGGGGGCAATTGATGGCTTATTGGGGAGTGTTTGCGATTGCTTCTACTTTTAAAAAGTGATTTTTTGAAGTGATTTTAGATAGTGGTTAATACGGAATAGTAAAAGTTGGTACTGTTTGAGAAAAAAATGTTTTTGGAAAGTAAAAGTTGGTAGTAATAGAGAATGTGTTTTTGTGTAATAGAAAAGGTGAAAAACAATTTAAAGAACTTCTCTGCCTGCTTCCAACTTTTAGCTTTTAAGTGTTTAATTTAAGCATAAGCTATCACTTGAAAACACTCACTTGGGCTCCTTTAATTTTAATCGAAATGTTTTTTCAAAGAAATGCCTTTTGGATTTTGCAGTGATACCTTCTACTCTGTAGTTTTTTCCGCATAACATTTCCTTCAAGTTAATTTCCTGCCATTAATTGGAGCATTAATGATAGATATCATGACACTAGACTAGACTGATGAAACAAATTTTATTTATAAAAGCATTTCTGGTGAGAGCAATATTCTTTATCTGTATGCAGGTCTGTGAAGGGATAAGAGAGTTACTCCAGCTTCCTGCAGATACCTTAAGGAAGGAAAGAGAATTTTAGATTTCCATTGATGATATGAATGCAGACTTGTTGCTATCACTAATTCACTGCCCAAGCAAGAAAAAGTTTTGTGCATTTCTGGCGTCTTCTTAGCAAACAAACTGCACTACGTGATTCCAAGTGGTGGCACCAGTCTTGTCAAACTAGAGTTTTCAATATTGTTCAGGACTGATATTTGATACTCCATAAAATTTTGGAATCAGTACCTCATATCTAAAATGTTTAATTTAATGGCCTAACATGTACCGGTGTTAATTATTCAAACTTAAATTTATAGTTGCACCTTATAAATGCATTTTTAATGCTTTTTTACTGCCTAGGAGACAGCTACAAGCATTCTTGCTTCTTGTGATGCAATTAGATCATTGGACTTGGGCAGGAAAGTTCATTCTTTTGTTGTGAAATTTCGTCTGAGATGGCGTGTTTCTGTAGATAATTTGTTGTTGTATATGTATGCCAAAGCAGGTGATCTTAGTACAGCTGAAACTATTTTTAATAGGGGAACTATAAAAAAACATGTGCAGTCCAAACACAATGATTTCACTGTAATTGCATGTGTCCAGGGTTGATCTTGCACTGGCACTCTTTGAGAAAATGAATGTCAGGGACATGGTTTCCTGGAATTCAACCATTGCAGGTTATAATCAGCATGGGCTTGATGTTGCAGCATTGAGAATGTTTCATAGATTCTTAGGGTGTGTTTGGGAGTTAGGTTTTGGAGGGGAGGGGAAGGTTGATGGGGGTTTATGACCCTTCTTGTCATGTTTGAGAGTATATAAAATTAGAGGGATGCTTTCGAAGGGCTTTCGTGACCCTCCAAAACCCTATAAATGATCAATTTTTGAGTTCCCCAATTTGGAGGGTTTTGAAGGATAATTAACGAAATGGTAATTTAAGCTCAATTAAAAATAAATATCATTTCAATTATTTGAATTCGTCATATCTTATAGTGATTTTAATTATAATTCATTAAAAACTCTTTTCTTCTAAATTTATTACTCCCAAATACAAAATACAAAGAAGGGCTTCCTCACCCTCTCCACCCTTTCCCTTCTACCAACGTACCTCCAAACCCTTCCTCCCCCTTCCCTCCAAACTCCCAAACATACCCTAGGGAATTCTCATTGAAGCCTGACATATATACTTTAGCAAGTGCACTATCATCGTGCACTAATCTTGAAGTGACCAACACAAGGAAACAAATTCATAGCTTTGGGGTTCGCTTTAAGCATCATGTAAGGTTCACAAGTGTGTTGAGCTGGGAAAAGTTGCAGCGGGGAGATTGTTTAAAATTGACCCTGAAAACAGTGAGCTATTCGGAACTTGCTAATGCATGTGCTGCTTGCCTTAAGTGGGAGGAAGCTGCTAAAATCATAAAATTGATGAAGGATAGACAGGTGAAGTAAGAACAAGGAATTAGCTGGGTTAAGATAAAGAATGGAGTTCATGTTTTTGGGATGCTATTTGACGATGGAGTAAATATGGAACTAGTTCATACTTTCATTCTAGAAACTGAATCACTGCTGCATGATCTTGATAACGAGTTGAAACTTGAAAGAGCAACTCCTTCGACATCACAGTGAAAAGCTTGCTGTTGCATTTGGTCTGCTGAATACCCCTGATAATACTACTTTAAGGATCAAGAAAAACCTTAGAGTTTGTTAGGGACCTACTTAGAATAATAATAAATGAGAAAAAGAATAATAATAGAGTAGTTAGTAGCTAATAACTACATTCTGTTAGTGGGGAATACTATAAATAGAAGATAGCTGGGAATAGTTAGGGGGCTGTTTTTGACTTGTAGTCTGTACTGGGAAGATCAGAGTATTGACTCTATCTTTTGGGGGGCTTCGACTCATTTGGGGGCTTCAGCCAGGTTGCCTAAGGAAAATCAATAAAAGGAAACTCACTCTGCCATCAAATACATCTCCAAGCTTGTTGGAAGAGAATTTATTGTTAGAAATGCCCACTAGTTTTCACCATTTCATAGACAGATTTTGCTCTTGTTGGGATTATTGGTAAGGGTGGTTGGTAAACCTTGATCTGTAAAGCTCAAGATTGAGACTGAATTTGTTTGCCCGAACTAACAGCTTTCAGATATGAGGAACTTCTTGATAGAAAATATGGTTCAAGATTGGGGCAGACAACTTATAGAAGAAGAGGAGTTTCCCACATTATAAAATTTAAATTTCTTCAAGGCTAAACATTTAATTGCAATTATCATGATATGCAATTTCATTTATCACATTACTGGCTTTTTCATTCAATAAATTGGAGTTTTACCCTTTTAAATGAAAAGACCGTTACAATTTGGGATTTAAGGCATTATATTATATTACTGACAAAATGTTTGGCCCTGACCATACAATTTCTGTAACTCATGGAAACACGGACCAAAATACCAGGGACATCTTCACGCGGGAACTACGGTCCGGTTCATCCAGAGTGATCATCATCACTTATGTCTTGGCCCGCTATATTTTTGTCCAGCAAGTGTCCCTTGTGGACAACTTTGACCTCCCTATCCAGCCCGAGAACCATCTCTATCGTATTGGTCATCGAGCATAGTGGACGGTTTGGAAGGAAGGTTGTGGCTATTAACTTCGACTCAAATAATGATGAAAGGATGCTTCATGACATACAACAGTTTTATATTGTTACAATCGAGAAGTTTTAACATGTGATACAGGCAATTAAGCAATTTGTTAATGTGTGATCATACAGGCAATTAAACACTGCATTTAACTTCAAATGATTTCTGGGAGTTCTGATTTCTGTCAATAAATGAGATCCCTTCATCCGGTAAAAAACATTTTGGGAGTTCTGATTTCTGTCAATGAATGAGTTTTCAATCACAAACTAGTATTGTACCCGTGCGATGCACGAAACAATAATTATTACATAGTTTCACTTGTAGTATTTTTCCATGCAAAGAAAACAAATTCAAAAACAATTTAAATAATACACATTTGTAAAAAAAAGAAAAATACGGAGTACACATTTGTACTCGTTAAAAAGTGTACACACATGTGTCCAAGACACATTACCAAAAAAATGTACATCAATGTGTAATTTGTAAAATACTCTCCAATGTGTCGGTTATATATTTGTTCTTGTGAACTGGACATGCATACATATGAACGCACCGGTCTCACTCATATTACTCAGTTTGTTTTAGAGGACACACTCTAACAGAGATTAAAATGTGATATTAATAACAGTCATAGCCAAAGTGATGTAGAAAAACAAAAAATTAGTTTCATAACATCACATGTGGAGAAAAATGGAGATTTACCTTAATAGGACTAAAACATGGCTTTTTTTTCAAAATAGGACCAATTAGTTTAAACATTCTTAAATAGGACTTTTTATATGTGATTGGAACAAAATATATCCATTGCTGCCCCTGGACTGCTGCCTGCCGCCGACCACCAGCCACCGCTGCCCCTGGACTGCTGCCTGCTGCCGACCACCAACCACCACCTCCGGACCACCACCGGAATTTACCGCTGCCGCTGTGTTGCTGCCACCGACGGACTGCCTTGGTTGTCCAAGGAAACTGGGGGCAAGTATTTAGATCAATTAATTAATTAAATAGAATCAGGGGTAAAAAAGTAAAGTTCGTCATATTTAAGGAAAAACATACATGCGATGCTATTTGAGGAAAAAGCTTGATTTTGGTCTTATGTTGGACAATTTTCTCGGAGAAAAATGGAGAAAATGTTTACTATAAAAACATTTAGAATTAACATTTCTGAGATAGTAGTCATCACAAATTAAACAGCAGTTTATGAGACATGTACACTTGTGAATGACCTCCGAGTGCCAGAGAAGCCCATTTCTACTATACTAACCGTCCGTGTATTTAACCATGTTGGATTTGCGATTACGTTTAGCGGTATAGCGGGATAAACCGTCCTGTCGATTAACTTGTCTATGTTTTGTGCGGCAACTCCGCAACAGGTTTTGTTAAAAAACTGTCATACATGGAACTGCAGTTTTTTTTTTTAATTTATTTTTTCCAATATCTTTTTATTAATCCTTTTGACAGGTCATGTATACTAATCTAAAAAAAGGAACTGACGCGTCTGAAAACTTTCAGACACCGTATCTTGCCGCGTCAAACATTATGGGCCAACCCTGCAATTAACTTTATCTTATATCTCAGTACATTATTGTGATTTTTATTTTGTGGGCCTAACGCCAACCTTTGTTAGGGAGGCGGAGGCCCATGGCCGGCATGTTTTAATTTTTGTAACTGGCCAGCAGAAGACGGTTGTTAACTTGATTTCCTTTTTTATATTAATATAGATAATGATGAGAGGATGCTTCATGACATACAAAACTTTATATTGTTACACGCAATTAAGCAGTTTGTTAATGTGTGATACAGGGAATTAAACACTGCATTTAACTTCAAATGATTTTGGGGAGTTCTGTTTTCTGTCAATAAATGAGTTTTCTCCATCCGGTAAATAACATTTTGGGAGTTTTTTTTGCAAAGAACATTTTGGGAGTTTAGATTTCTGTCAATAAATGGGTTTCCTTCATTTGTATGGAGTAATCATTTGGCATATTTAAGTCTTCTCTGTTTCTTTACCCGATAGATTCAAACATCTGCTAATGTTTGTATGCTTTACGGAATCAAAAACAACACAGTGGTTTGAGGTAGGCCTGGACTCAGGCCGGGTGGCCCGACCCGGAACCGGCCCGAACCGGCACTGTTCCTGCCCGGACCGGTGGTCCGGTCAGTGACCGGTTCGGGTATGCCCGACCCGCCGGGGTTCCGATCCGGGCTCGGGCCCCTCAAAACGTGAACCAGACCGGCCGGTTCGGGCCCAATCCGGGCCATTTTATTTATTTTTTCTTTCTTTTTTTTTTGAATTTTTTTTAAGTTTTTGGGTTGGGTTGGACTGGGTATTTTGGGTCATTTGAGGTGGTTTGGGATGGTTTGGGCCTTTGGGGGTGAGGGGGGGTTAGGGGTTAATTAGGAAAAGGCAAAAAAAAAAAATGAACCGAGGCCCGGCCCGACCCGGGGGTTACCCGGGCCAGTTCCGGGCCTCCCCTTTCCTGAACCGAGGCCCGGCCGGGCCCAGGCCCGAACCAGGCTGAGTCCAGGCCTAGTTTGAGGCTCTACTACTGGAACAACGCTTTCCAAAGCAATGTATACTCAGCTAATGTTTGTTAACAGAGTCTGTCTTCAATCTTCATGCATGGTCATGTCATTCATGTGGCCACAAAGTGAGAACTAGAGCGCAACTGGCAAAATGGCTATAAATGCTTTGACAATCCTTATTTAGTCTGTTTTTGTATCTAAATATCCTTTAACAGCTTGAAAGGTATTTCTAACCAGACGACCCCTTTGCCTTGTCTAGAACCAGACGACCCTGAGCAGGCCCAGGTCCGCAAATAATTACAATGAACAATCTTCAGAAAACTTACAGCAAACAAAAAGCACATCCATTCGTATAAAATAGTGCTAGTAAAAAATCTCACTGATAAGTCAGAGAATGTGACCACCAAAGGGCCTCTCTGTTGGGGTGAAATTAATCAATACAAGCTGAAGCCAAATTGTTGGGTGATAAGAATTGCAATCCCTAGACCAATGGCAATAAGGGATGAAGCCCAAGTAAGCTTCTCGGTTATCCGAGGGACCCTATCCTTCAATGCTTGACTACACGAACCAATGAAGACAGTATAGCTTCCCATTGCAAAGACAGTGCCAACCAAGAACATAAGCAAGAACGCCGCACCAGCCACACGAGAAGGCAAAGCAAGTGCAGGCAATATCATCATAAGGGCATCAGGTTGTAAGCCGTGGACAATCCCAGTGGCAAAAGTGGCAAACCCTACCTTCTTGGTTTTCACATCATAGCCGTTTTCTAGGGCAACAATTGGTGTATGGACTTCAGATGCTTCCTTTATTCCCATGGCTCCGATCACAAGAAGGGTAAAACCGACCACTCTTGTTCCCCATGTCCTGATCACTTCAATGTGGAGTCTATCCTTTAAGAGTAAAAACAACAAACCAAAAATAAGCTGCCCAGCATCATGGCCACAGCCCCAGAGAGCTCCCACAGCAGCACTTTCCATCCTACTACGGCCTATTGACAGTGGGGCCAAGGCAGCAAGGTGGTCCGGACCAGAGAGGGTGTGTAGGCATCCAGCAAAGAAACCAGTCCATCCACTACTTAGTATTTCATTGCTAATGACTCGACTTCCAGCTGAGGTTGCAGCGGGCCCACCAGTGTTTGCGGCATTTTGAAAGAATGCTAGAGCTGGTGAAGCAATGATTGGGTGAACGAGAACTAAGCAGATAGCAGAAAGGAGGATTATTGTACTTACCACCTGAAACACATTTGTTGAAAATTAGTTCTGAAAATACAGAAGTATGCATGTAAAAATTATAGAAAGAATGACGCGAATGTGACTAACGGGAATGCTAAAGACAAAAATAATGCGTTTCTCAATTTTTCCATAAATGAGACCAATCTCAATATTAATTTACAAAATTAACCTTTGACTCCCCTTGGATTCCCTTCGCTTCGCTTCGTTCGGAATTTCAGATCTGGAGAGAAGCCATGGCAAGACTTCACAAGATCTGGAGAGAAGCCCATCGCCGCACACCTCACCGCCTCGCCCTTCCATCGTTGCTCATACCTTCATCCTTGATTCCAGTTGAGCTGCTTCGATTCCTTCGTCGCCGTTCATCGCCATCGTCACCGCCAAACGAATCCATCTTCACCTCCTCGACTTCGTAGTGCAGTCGCATCATCATCATCATATAGGTTCTACTTCTTCTTCATCTCACTTCTTTTCCTTCTCTCTTCTTCTCCTTCAATGATGGAGGGGGTGAATGGCGGTGATGGCTAGAAATCAGCGGCGATGGCATGTTTTGATTTTGGATTTAGGTTTTCCGTGATGCAAGGATTGCGAGGGACCAAATCAGGGACACCGGGAGGGGCTGTGAGTTGCGAGGGTGCGAGGTTGGGAAGGGCGGGTTGGGGTGGGGTAGTAGCTGTGTGGAGCTGAGAAGGGGTTGACAGTGGCGGACCATGGGCGGAGAAGTGGGTTTGGTAACAAGTCACTATCCCTTACTAGGTGGTGGTCACTGGCTGATGGTGGTCGACGGACGTCACTAGGTCGGTGTAGTTTGCTGTAGGCGGTAGTGACTGGTCGGAGCGTCGCAAACCGATGGTGGTGACTGATTGTGGCATTGAAGATGGTTGAAAATTGTTCTTTAATTCACTGTGGCCGTGGTGGTGGTCACTGTGGCTATTGCTATAAATATTACTCCCATATTACTCCCATCACTGCCAGGGGAGGTTGATGGAGAAGGGGTATGTGGTGGCGGGTTGCAGGGACGGTGGCAGGGGAGGGCTTGGGGGAGGCTGGTTAGTGGGCTGGGGCTAGGGAGGGGCAGGGCAGGCTAGGGTTCGGTTGGTGGGGTTGTCACTGGTGACATTAAGGTGGCGGTGGGCGGCGGCTTCCGGCGGTGGGCGGTGGACACGGTTGGAAGTTAGATCACTGCTTGTAACTGTGGCATGGAATTGTACACTCTGCTTGGTAATTGGCCTAGTGCTCACGGACTGAAATCTAATCACTGTAGTGCCAACGTGGTGGTCACGGTGACCGGGATGTTGGTCACTGTAATCGGGTGTTGATCATTATAATTTGGTGTTGGTCACTGTAATGGTCACTTAACGGAAGTCACTATTTTATCAAGCGGAATTTTTGGTAACTGACGATTTTTGGTCACCGGTGAATTTTGGATTTTTGGTCACTAATGATTTTTTGTCACTGACGAACTTTGGTCACTGGTGAATTTTGGATTTTTGGTCACTAATGATTTTTGGTCATTGGATGAATTTTGTAACTATGTCATTGGTAACTGTAACATTGGTCACTGCAAATTTGGTCACTGTGGCGGGTTACTGTAGCAGGCAAGTGGGTTTGGTCTTAGTAAGGGTGTAATAGTCCCTTAAGGATTATTTAGTCTTATTTTTGGAACTTAAAAGAAAATTCTCTATTTTTGTCCAAATGCTTTTAATTAGTATTATTTTAGGACAAACCCCAAAATTATATTACACACTCTGCCTCAAGTCAAGCGAACACAAAGGCTCTTTTTGGTAGTGCCATCTGGCATAAATGTCTTTTGACTTGCTTATTGGCAGATTAAACATTTCCAGTCAAAATACATATACTTACCAAACTGGCTATAAGCCAACAAGTACACTATGAAGAAGACAATTGCTTCAAGTAAACAGAGGCTGCAAAGAAACAGTTGATTCTCACACTTCAGATTCAGACACAATCAATCATTCACAAAAAAAGGGACTTTCCATTTTATAGTTCCTAAAGGAAGGTTGCTTTCACAAAATTCCTTTCTTATCAGCATAACCCAATATATAGCCATGTGTTGGCAGCAAGCCAGCAACAATGGAATATTGGAAAGGGTTGTTTCTAAATTATTCTTCAGGTGAAAATGTATTATGTAAATAGAATATTCCCTTCATTGGCAACGTCAAGAAGCATCAAAGACTTCAGATTTCAGTTGTTTGACTGCTTATTCGTGGTAGCTTTGAACTGCTCTTTCTAAGAGCGTTTCAACAACTTAGATAGAAATAGCAACCATTTACGGAACACTATACTTCAAAATTACAGCATAAAAGTAAAGGATCAAATAAAGATTCAAAATCCATATGAACAGAGTTACCCAAAGTTAGCACCTTTTGTTTGTCGGATACAGGTTCAACAGCCTGTTGGGGTCTTGACCCACGGGTCAAATCGACCCGCTTCGAAACATCATCCGATTGAGTTTGCTGAAATTCCGGCGTCACTTCGGAAAAAGATGATGCGTAACGGCAGCGGATCCAGTCAAACCGGCGCGGGTCAACACAAGTCAAGGGCGGACAAGACCATGGTTTGGGGTGGACGGCGGAGACGAAGTTGGGCGGAGAGAAGCGAGGGGGAGAAGGAAGAAATGGTCTAGATAGGAGCTTGATGGAGATAGGGTTGGAGTAGATAAGGCTCTCCATGGCAGGTAGAGAACGGCCTTCCCTCTTTGCTCTTCTGTGGATTAAGGTTTGGTGGGTGGAGGGAGCCCCGTCGAGGCTGTAACGGATCTGGGAGCGGGTTGATCTTGAGGCTCCGGTTCCGACACATGACATTGGGGTGTTTGGAAATGTTTTATTTCAAAAAAACTTTTTAAAATGATTTTGAAAAGTAAAAGTTGGTTTTTGATAGAATAAGTGTTTTTTGTGTTATATCGAGTTGAAAAAGTAAAAAACATTTTTCACACAAAAGCCAAGAAACGTTTTTTAAGTAGAAGTTGTCACTTGAAAACAGTAAATTTAGATGATGTTTGGCAACACTGTTTTTCGGCTTATCAGCCAACTTTTTCACCAAAAACGTAACTTTTGCTTTCGCGCGTTGAATTGTGTAATAATCAGAAAAAGTAAGGTTGGAGTTACTTTCTGGCTGTATTGGTTGAAATTACTGTAGATGACCATTTTAACTATTTTTACCTATAATTTTTTCATTATTTTATTAATAAAATATTTTTTAGAAATATTTTTTTCTTAAATCAACAGAACCAGTCAAAACAGTCAATTTTCATGCCACCAAACGGGCTCTTAGCTTTTTAAGCCAAAAAGCGAGAATCGCTTTTTTAAGCTATTGCAAACACTCCCTACGTCGTGGTTGTAAAACATAATGACTGCATCACCTCCTTATGACGCAATGTTAGTAAGACTGAGGTATAATGGAGTATTACTTAGGTTGAGGTAATAGTAGTCTTGCTTTGGTCTTGCAAAAAAAAAAAGTAGTCTTGCTTTGGAATTTGACTTTATTTTAACCTTTTTTCACCCACTTCATATAAATTCTCTTGAATTAAATAAACACTTTAAAATTAAAAAAAGAAATAGTCATAAATAAGAGTAAGAATGATTCGGATTTAAAAAATAACAATGGTGTGCTTGTATTCTCTCAATAAAAGTAATTACTATCAAATTTTAGAAAAAAACTACCACTGATGAGTTATGACAGCATATTGTGTTTAATGTCTGTTAATATAAAAAAATTGCGGTAAATTTTCAATAAATCGTAATGTACCCATGTTTCGGAAACAAAAATTTGTTTTTCACGCTTGCCAACACATAACTTTAATTGCAATTATATTTAATTACGTATTACAGAGTAGTAAATATTATAAAAAGTTATTATTTTGTAAATTTACAGTAATATAAATTTAATAATATTTTATACTCCCTCCACCCCTTAAATTTGGTCAAGTTTGACCAGCATACGGGATAATAAAGTAAAACTTTTATGATTGAAGTTTGTGCAGAGGAACGAAAATTAACAAACACCACAAATTCTTCAATTAAAAGTGAAAGTGACAAAGTTAATGGGACAATTAAAAAAAGAAAATTGATTACATATATTAGTAGAAAATAATTGTCAAAGTAAAATGTGTGAATAGTGTAAAAAACACAATATTACAACTATTAAAAATGGATGAAGTATATATTTGGTTAAGATTGAAACTCAAAAAAGAATGCAAAGGATTAGGATATGCATGTGCATTAGTTTCATTCATGAAAGGGAAATTGTCGGTTAATTCACTGTACTTTTAAAAAAATCTATCAAATTCCTGAACTTTATAAAAACGTTCAGTCGAGTCTATTTGCATGTTACTTGTCATATCAGCGAGTCACCCACTAAATTGGCGCACAAGTGACAGCTCAATCAGTAGTAACTTTGTTGATGTGGCACACATGTGGAAGTCCAATCTGTCATTTGCTGATGATGTGCACACACGTGGACCACCACGTGTGTGCCACGTCTGTGGATGACCTGCTGACATGACAAGTAACCTACAAATGTACTCAATTGAACGTTTTTACAAAGTTCAGGGATTGAATTGATTTTTTTAAAGTACAAAGGCCTAAGTGGCTTTTTCGATAAATTTACAGTTTTTCCTTCATTAAATATGTTTAATTAATCTAGACTTTAGAATACAATGAAGATGAAAAGGGCATATGTATCTTGTAGCTAAGTTGGGCGAGAAGGAATTATTCACAAAGGAACATCATCATTGCGACTCAAGTAAATTTTTTTAGTGTCAATTTAATATCATATGTCCAGATAATGTGTTTCTGGCCCAAGAGCTTATCAAAGGCTATTCCAGGAAGCATATGTCTCCTAGATCTATGATCAAGGTGGATCTTAGGAAAGCCTATGATACTATTTCGTGGGACTTCCTGTATAAGGTCCTATTGACCATTGGCTTCCCTGACAGATTTGTTCATTGGGTCATGGAATGTGTATCTACACCTTCCCTCTCCATTTCTGTCAATGAGATCCTTCATGGGAATTTCAAAGGCAAGAGGGGGCTTCAGCAAGGTGATCCCATGTCCCCCATCCTCTTTGTCATTTGCCTTGAGTACTTCTTCAGACTTCTTCACAATAGAATCAATATAGGGAGTGTTTGCAATTGCTTCAACTTTAAAAAAGTGATTTTTTAAAGTGATTTTTGGAAAAGTGATTAATAGTAAAAGTTGGTAGTGTTTGAGAAACAAGTGATTCTGGAAAAGTAAAAGTTGGTACTGTTTGGTAAAATAAGTATTTTTTGTGTAATAGAAAAAGTGAGAAGCAGTTTAAAGCACCCTTCTACCTGCTTCCAGCTTTTAACTTTTAAGTGATTAATTTAAGCAGAAGCTGTCATTTGAAAACACTCTTTTCAACTTTTTTAAGCCAAAAGCTGAAAAGCACTTTTTTAAGCAAACCCAAACACTCCTTTAATATCATATAACTTGATGGAGAGTTCTTATTCTCATAACTTCTCACTTTCAATGAATTGTTTTACTTAAAAAGCATGTATCAATACTAAAAAACACCATACCCAATTCAAGCAAGCTTATAGTTTAGTTGCATATTAACTTTGATGTTTTTATCTGGATTAAGATTTTCGAATCTAGTTCATCATTATCATCATTACCCCAGTGCTGCAAAGGCTCCCACGTATGGTGGGGTCAGGGGTCGGGTGTACGCAGTTTTACCCCTGTACGAAGCACAAAGAGACTGTTTTCGGATGACCCATAGGGAAAATCGCATCGAAAATTGCATTGACGGACCGCTGTTTCATAACAAAGAAGCGCAGACAGTTTAGTGAGTCATTTGCTTTATTCCATCATATTCCTAAGCCAAAAATATTGTCTTCGGCTCCATGGTAAATGATGGAAATATTTTCTTATCTAGTTGGTTTGTTTAAATTTGGTGTGACTTGATATGGACTGATAGATATCTATATTATGGGTATTTTACAAATGTCAAAATTTGATTTGTTTTAAAATGATCTGGTCTGTTTAAAATCAAATCTTGTCTATGACTGAAACAAGTTCAATTAGTAACATCCTTATATGCCATGGAGAATGTTTGAAACTGCCCAAACAAATAAAGTGAATGAACAGTGTGTCCTACATATATGTTACCCAGACCAGTTTTGTATGGCCATTGAGTTTGTCCTGCGGGCATTACACAAAAGATCTCCAAATGCTAGTATGTGTCTAGTCTCTTTGTAATTTACAATTGTTGAGGTCCGATCTAATCTGATGATGATATTGTTTGAGATTGAAATAAGTTCAAGTAAAAAAAATTCCAAGTACAACACTAGGAGAGATAGGGGGCTAACCTAGGCCTCACTCTACCCTAAATTCACAAAATGTTTTAGCTATTTTTGTAAAACTTCCTTCGATATCCCAAAAAAATTGTACCAATCCAGTGCTCTGCTTATGCCCGTAAATCCCTAACTACACTAATTCCTATCACTAATTCCTATAAATAGAAATAAAAATTTTAATAATGTCTTGCTTTAAAAATGTGCACCCTGTAGTCCTATATAACAAAAAAAGGAGTTCATATTTTGTGCAAAACTTTAATCTTTATACAAAACATTTGTGTGATATATTATACAAATCATTATAGGGAGTATTATATAAGTGATATTTAAGCATTATCGTTAAATATGTAAAATAAAAAAGCATTATCGTTTATTGGAGGTTTGTTGCCGGATCTTTAAATTGCACACTGCACATCACATTAACTGTTTTATAATAAAAAGCAATAATTGTGTATAATAAACAATAATTAAATAATGTATTTAGTGAAAAAATAGCAACAAACGTTTTTTCAAAAAGTTGCAACACAACAACATTATTTTTACGAACAAAAACTCAAACTTAAATACTCCGTAATTGAATTGTTTAAATAAAGCACAAAAAAGAATCATTTTGTTTTCAAAAAGTGGCAACACAAGCGTCTTTTCAAAAAGTTGCAACACAACAACATAATTTTTAAATTTCACACATATTTTAGTTGTGTTACATAGGTTACACATATTTTAAAGTAAAATAACTTTTATCTTTTTTTCTTTTTTGTTTTGTTTTTGTTGATCACTATTCAATATTTATAATTTGACTGAAATTTTCTCATCTCATATAATCTAGTATGATAAATTTCTATTTTATGTTTTTTTTACAATTATCGAAATTTAATCTGATGTAATTTAATTTATTTAAATCTAGTTTGATACGATTTAATATGATCTAGTTCCAGTCTGAAACTAAAAACATTATACCAAGAGTAATTGTTAATTAACTATATTTGTTGGTCGAAATATGTGCTTATTTTATTAATTTTAATTATTATTTATTTTAGAATTTAAAGTTGAGTAATGGTTAGCGTGTATATGCAAACACTATGATGATTTTGAACTTTAAATCGTTAAACCTTAAACCAACATGAGAGTGTAATTAACACAGAGTAATTAATTAATTTTGTTTCTAGTTTGTTCTTATATGCATATAATTTGTAAGTTGATTAGGAGAAGTATTAGAAACTTGAACATATGAAGGGACGTATATATATACGATATACTCACGAACCAAATTGACTACAATCCTAACCATAGTGAGTCGGCCCGAACCTTCTATAAATTGACCCCACACTGTTACGGCTTCCCTTCACAGCTTATTTCTCCAGCGCTATCGTTCTTTCTCTCTCTTAGGGCTACAGATTTTTAGATCCGACCTTCGTAATCCATCTCCACCATGTCTACCTCGAAGATGATAGTCCTCAAGAGCTCCGACGGCGAGACCTTCGAGGTCGAAGTGATGGTGGCTGAGCAGTCTCAGACGATCAAGCACATGATTGACGACGACTGCGCCGATACTGTCATCCCCCTCCCCAACGTCACCAGCAAGATTCTCGCGAAGGTCATTGAGTACTGCAAACGCCATGTCGAGGCTGGTAAGACAGAGGATAAGCCTAGCGAGGACGACCTCAAGTCGTTCGATGCTGAGTTCGTCAAAGTTGACCAGGGAACCCTATTCGATCTCATATTGGTATGGCTCTCTCTCCGATTCTTATTGTGGTTCATGTGGATTTGTTTGGTAGCGGATATTATGCTGTTTTATCTGATGAGTATACTGCTGGTGCTAATTTGATGTTAGGGTTTATCGTGATCGTTTGCGATTTTGGTCATGGGTTGCCTGTGTTGATCTCGATTGCTTTACATTGATATTAATCTTCGTGTGCCTTTTTCAAAATTTATGTATCATTTTTTTTAAATGTGGTTTGATTTATCCATGACCATCACCTTCACAGATGAGTGATTGCTTTATTCAATAAGGGATTTGAAACTGCATACGCTTTTCTATATGTGGGTGATGAGCCGATTGCTTTTTAGATTTCCTTTACTAACACTACTGGTTTGGCACTGTTCAAATACAATCTGGCTTTAAAGCTTTATTTCACTGTTTTGGTTGCCCAATTCATATGTTGTGTTTAAGTATTGGTGTATAATCTATTTGAACCATTGAGACATCACGTATTCTTGTACGTTTTTGCTCTTTCCTGTTTTATGATTATTATGTATTGGGTAGTTTATATCTTTGTCACAATGTCACTGCTTTAGATCAAAAGTTTGTACTTTATGCTAAATTGTGATATGTATTCTAAATGTTAATCTATATTAAGAATACAGAACATGGTATATTGCCTATGATGTTTGCATTTTTTGTGGTAATTTAATGTATTACCATTTGGATTGTAGGCTGCCAATTACCTCAACATAAAGAGCTTGCTTGATCTCACCTGTCAAACTGTTGCTGACATGATCAAGGGAAAGACACCAGAGGAGATCCGCAAAACATTTAACATCAAGAATGACTTCACACCAGAGGAAGAAGAGGAGGTCAGAAGGGAGAATGCTTGGGCATTTGAGTGAACATCAAGTCACCCTGTTTACTTGTTGCTTTAATCGTGTTTTGCTGCTATATATCCCCTAGTAGATTCTCCAAGGGAAACTCTTTTATGTGGTAGTAGTAAATATGACTGCTCTAGTACTCTATTTTGCTATGGGCTCAGAACGTGTGGTATTCGGCTCTCTCTGTCAAGAGAGTAGTTTGAATCTTTGTTATCCCTTATCATCCTATTGTTCCTATCGTTTTAATTTTATGAAATTGCCCTATTTTTCAATGCTATTCATTTACTGCCAGCTTTCAGTATCTTCTTCTCTACTAGTTGAGCACAATTAACCTAACTAGTGCATTACTGCATTCAAGAAAGGCATTATTATAATAATAAGAGACAATTGAAGAAATCTTCACGCGTACGGTCTTTAGCTTGGAAACTTCTTTCCCAATCACTTCACACGCTGTACTGGTTTGTGGGTGAGTCTAATTGAGGAGCTAAGGTTATGTTTGTGACAACCAGCACAAATAATCGAGCCGGAGTCATTGTAAGCTCGAGCTTGAGCCCAAGTCGACCCAATGTAGTTTGAGTTTGTCATATCAAGCCCTGTCCCAACTGTGAGTAGGTTGAGTTTTTTTAGAGCTAGACTCGTTTATCATATCAAGCTTGAGCTCATTGTAACTTGTAAGCTCGAGCTTGAGCCCAAGTCGACCCAATGTAGTTTGAGTTTGTCATATCAAGCCCTGTCCCAACTGTGAGTAGGTTGAGTTTTTTTAGAGCTAGACTCGTTTATCATATCAAGCTTGAGCTCATTGTAACTTGTAAGCTCGAGCTTGAGCCCAAGTCGACCCAATGTAGTTTGAGTTTGTCATATCAAGCCCTGTCCCAACTGTGAGTAGGTTGAGTTTTTTAGAGCTAGACTCGTTTATCAAATCAAGCTTGAGCAGTTGAGCTTGATTGATTTGTTTATTTTCGAATAAAGTCAAATTCAAACCTTAATGCGTTGAGCTCTAGCCTTGGTGAACTGAGTCGGGCTCATAACAGCACTAATCGTAGCTACTTACCAGAAAAGTGTGCTTTGTTGGTGATAGGGGTGGACTCGGGCCGGGTGGCCCGACCCGGAACCGGCCTGAACCGGCACTGTTCCGGCCCGGCCTGGCCCGGTGGCCCGGTCAGTGACCGGTCCGGGTAGGCCCGACCCGCTGGGGTCTGGTCCGGGCTTGGGTCCCCCAAATCGTGAACCGGCGCGGCCGGTTCGGGCCCGGTTCCGGGCCTTTTAATTTTTTTTATTTTTTTTTTACTTTTCGGGTTGGGCTGAGTATTTTGGACCATTTGGGGGTGATTTGGGGGGTGAGGGGGGGGGTTAACTAGGAAAAGACAAAAAATAGCTAAGGCCCAAGGCCCAGTTAGGCCTAACCCGGAACTGGGGGTTACCCAGGCCGGTTCCGGGCCCCCCATTCCTGAACGGGAGGCCCAGCCCGGGCCCGAACTGGCCCGAGTCCACCCCTAGTTGGTGATGCGTAAGAGAAACCTTTACTGATATATTTGAGTAGTACAGTTTTACACTTCAAATCTAAAACAGGCAGTTGTGTATAGAAAATATATATAATATAGATATAGATACATCACAATCACAATAAATCCTTCCCATGCGCAATAATACTAGGTGATCCCAGTTTTTAACTTTTATGCGTTCAACTATTAGAGGCAGCAGCACAATCGGCCAGCTTTAAATCTTTCTAATCATTTACCACTACAATGGCTTTAAACCCCAAGTTTTAAGACAATCCGAGATGACGAGTGATATCTCTCTCTCAAGCGTCACAAAGACACAAACAAAACCAAGAATTGGTCACTTTGGCTTTCCCCAAAAGCAACTCCACCAATGTCAACGTGATTAGAAGGGGAGTATAACAAAGATTGGAACTTCTAGTCTAATAGAATTAGTAATGTAGATGTATACTTTGTATTCATGCAACAAGCCCCTTATTAAAATAGATAAAACACAAAATTTGTATTGTTTGCAACAATTAATTAATAAAATGATTTATTAGCAAAATAAATGGAAGAAAAACTTGGGCATCTAACAAACTAGATATCTCTCTTTCCTCATGCATATTGTGCTGCTCATCTACCCATATTTTTGGGTAAACATATGTGATGTGCTATATCAATATATCACTCATATCAGTATAAACACTACATACTAGAAAAGCTTATAATAATGTATAGTTGAAGAAATCTGCAAAATTTTGTAACATTAGACAAGACACATTCTTTTGGACTCGAGCTGCAATCTTCAAGGTTAAGTGTGTTGTCATTCATTCCCTTACCTGTGTTTGAACCCCAACCAGGAAAAAAAAGGAATTGATTCTGTTATAGTGCACAAGTATTTCTGAGTCACTTGTTAGCTTTATAACTTTAATCATGTTTTCTTTTATACTGCACTACTTTTTGTACTCATACAAAAGGCTGATATCATGTTTCTGTTCCTAAAAGGTACAAGAGAAGTGGTTATATGATGCTGCTGGGGCAAAGTATAGTGGAAAGGCTAAGGCCCATAGTGGGACCAAAGAATTGGGATTATTGTGTGTGTTGGAAGATGAGTGAAGATCAGAGGTTTCTTGAGTGGATGTGTTGCTGCTGTGCTGGCGCTACTGATGGGGCCCACAATTGCGACGAAGAGTTTCTTTACCCAGCTTGTTCTTCTTCTTCATCTTCTTCTTTACCTTGCAGAGATGTCATAAATCAGCATCCCCGGACTAAATCTTGCGATTTACTGTCACTATTGCCCACCTCCTTCATTCTCGATTCTGGGTACTATCTGTATCTTTTTTTTTTTTATTTAAATTCAATCGCTTAAGATTGAAAACTAAAATCTCCAATCGGGTACTATCTATACCTATGTCTATATATATATCTATACCTATATCTATATTTATAACTATATCTATATATGATTCAAATTAGAAAGAAACGTAATGCCCAGTTTACCCAAGGTTAATTTGACGATACTACTGAATCTACTGAATTTTCTATAAGGTAATATCCATTTCAACAACAAAAAGCCAAAAGCTATTTGTGCTGGTCATTCTACTAAACAGAACTTTATAATTGCAGGGTGTATGCACAAGCAATTGTATCAAACCAACCAAAATGGTTGAATTTCTCACAGCTCTTAGAATCAAATGATTCTAATGTAAGTACGTGTCTGGGTATATACACATATATAAAGCACACATATATCTTTACATAATACTACGTATATAGGAGTAGAAAATTTTCTCTGCTCTCGTTTCTTAACAATCCTGTTTTTGCAGGAAATAATTGGGACCCGTGTGTTGATCCCACAACCAGTTGGACTAATTGAGCTATTTACTGCAAAACTGGTGCCTGAAGATCAACAAGTGATAGACTTTGTCTCAGGTACATGCAGCATATACTTGGATCAGCAAGCATGCATGATGATGAACTCAAGTGGTGGCATTCTAGCCAATGGTCATAATAACGGAGGGGATAATGATCAAATGGACGATCCTCACCATCTCTTCTCGCCTTCCTCCTCAAATCTATCTTCTCTGCCTATGAGTTTTCTCCCACAGATGAGTAGTTCTAGCATGTTAATGCAGAACACGGGTGAATTGAATGGCTTCAGGATGGAGAGTGGATTAGATAATGAGATGGATGTGGTGGTGGTGCAGAAGCAAATGATGATGGAGAAAAAAGATGAAGGAGGACTTGAAGATGAATCATCATATAACAGACAGGAAAATGGTCAGTCACACTCCATATCCGATAGTGATCAGAATGAGGAAGAAGATGATGGAAAGTACAGGAGGAGGAGTGGGAAGGGTAATCAATCCAAGAACCTTGTGGCTGAGAGGAAGAGAAGGAAGAAACTTAACGAAAGGCTCTACGCTCTTCGTGCCTTGGTCCCAAACATTTCCAAGGTTATTCACTTGCTTAGAGTTTTTTCTTCCTTCCCTGTATTCAATTACACTCCAGTTTTATTAGATCCTCAACAAGGTTATTTGCAGTTCTTAAAACAAAAAGTTTAGGAACAGAGAATAGTTGGAGACTTGGAGTTAATAGATGAAAAATTAGAAAAGTAATAAATAGATGTTTTTTTATGTATTTTGATATCATAGCATATTTCAAATCATGAAAGAGGAGCAAATTTAACAACATTCTAAAGAAGGAAGAGGAACCAACTATGTGATAACATCACCTATTGAATAATCTTGATATGAGCTAGACCCAATTTAGCATGGCATTAACTTGGACGCATACGTTCACAACTTATCAAACCACACAAACTTACGGGTTGTGGGGGTGTTGAGTGTTGACTACCTGTCTACCTCACATCAATGGTTTACTATGTTTGAGTCTACATTGTGTTTGGGTATTGGATATAATGTGTAAGTGTGACATAAACATCAAAACTCACCTTTTAAGGACTTTTTTTGGTGTGAGTTAAGCACAGACCTGAATACACCCATGTAAAATATTTTAACTCGTTTAAATTTAAATCATATTGATAGTTGGATAGAGCTTCCATACTCGGAGATGCAATAGAGTATGTGATGGAGTTGCAAAAGGAGGCAACAGATCTTCAAAATGAGCTAGAATTGAACTCTGATGATGATGAGGAAGCAGCAGGAGGTAGAAAGCGAAACAATCTAAGCAGAACAGAAGACAGGAATGGGATTCCCCGGGTCCTGAAATCTGAACGAGAAAAACTTTCTTCAGTTCTTGAATCAGAGAAAACAGATGACAAAGTCCAACAAATGGAGGTATAATATATACTATGGTAGTTCATACATTCTCTCTTCTTGTGTTGTGAATAAAATTAAGTTTAGGTCATCGCCCATGAATGTAATGCAGCCTCAAGTGGAAGTAGCACAGCTGGATGGGAGTGAGTTTCTGGTGAAGGTGTTCTGTGAACACAAGCCGGGTGGATTTGTGAGGTTGATGGAAGCTCTGGATTCTCTAGGCCTGGAGGTCACAAATGTGAACACCACACGACACACCTGTCTAGTGTCAAACAACTTCAAAGTTGAGGTATGCTATTATGCTTCAAGAACTACTTGTCAGACATTATGGCGAACACCTATGATACAAAGATTTCGGATTTTGTGCAGAAAAGGGATAGCGAACTGGTACAAGCGGATCACGTTCGGGAGTCCCTATTGGAGCTGACGCGAAGCACTGCTGGGAGAGGGTGGCCTTCGGAGATGGGTAGAGGGGGTCTGGAGAGCAGCGATCTCGGCGGCGGAATGGAACAGAACCACCACCACCGGCAGCACCACCTCAACCACCATCTTCACCACCAGCTCAACAATTCCCACCACCTCCATCACCTGCATAACTAAACCAGAAGGGGCTGAATGCCCATTTCTGTACGACGATGTCATAACAAAGTTTGAACCATAATAATTCAGACTTCCAAGCAACATATTGGAGTCTGGTTTAGCCATTCAAAAATTAATAATATTAAGGCAATTTTTCCAACTGCTCCGATGATTTCATGAAGAAAAGAAAATGAGATAAAATGAACATTTTTTACCATCCAACTTTAAATTAAACGGCTTGTAAGATGGAAAGAATCAACTCTGCAGCACTCTGGATCAAACTCAGTCGGCATAATACATACTCCCTTTGTATAAGTTGCCACTTTTCTTATTTGGAAAGTTTTCATTTCCTTAAATGGAAAGTTATCTACATCAAAACAGTGCAAAATAGTGTCAAACAATGTCGAAACAATGGGACGGAAGGTAAAATTTACCCCTGGTAAGTTTACTTGCATAAAAGTGTGTGAAAGTCACATGAGGAACTTCTTTCGGGGACGGAAGGAGTAATTAAGATTTTGAGTTCTAACTTTTAATGACACCTTACTCGGATTTGGGATGTGAACGTTAAAAGTTTGCACCACGAACAAACAACTTTATTGTTCAATCCCCTTGGAAAGTGAAAACATTTTGCAGGGGTCAGCAAAAACCTTTATTGGATTACAGTATACAGATTAAAACTCGTGCCATTTCTTGCTCCCCAAATGAAGAAAATACCTTGATCACCTCAGTATTCATGGAATAAAACTTGATCCAACCAAAATACTATATGCGGTAGATAACTTTTACAGAGAGCACTTCTCCTGATTTTGTTACAAGAGGGACAGGTTATAAAACTAATGAATTTATAGAGTTTTATTCAAGAATAAATTACGCAAAATTTATTATGACATAAATATTACTCTATCAAATTTGGTATGAGATTTTTCCAGTGAGATGGATAAAAAAGTGATCATTTTAACTGTACAAAGGGAGGGCATGCTTTTCTAACATGTTGTTGCTTTTGATGTGTTTCGCGGAGGATACTATTATTCCTTTTTATTCTCTTTGTTTTGTTTTTTTATTTAGAATCTGTCATGTTATTATTTGTTTCTGTTTCGTTCAAAACTTTGAAGAGTAGGATGAGCGATGAGGGTTTCTTTTCGCTCACTGTCGGCTCAGTTGTGCCCATGATAAGATCTACAAATTTTATTGCTTATCTGCTTCTGTGAAGGTAATAAACTTCAAGTCTGGTTCAAAGGTTAGTGATCTGGATGCGACTCTTTGTCACTCTGTTACTTATCTGAACTCTAATTTCTTGATAATATAAATCACTCTTCCCAAAAGAAATTGTACAAGGGAGAGAGTGGTTTTTAAACGGCATCAAGTTCAGTAAAAGTGATGGAATTAGTATGTTTTAAGAGGTTCAATATTCTTTTTCATGCTCCGTTGAGGTAGTATGTCTACGGGTACTTCGAAGTTTATACTAAAAGCATTTCCAAAAGGGATAATTTGAGTTTGCACTTCATATTATTATCTAAATTGGACTTTGCACACTATTTTAAAGAATCTTTGTTTTTACACACCAATCCCATATGAAAAGACAAAATGCCCTCAATCAGGAATATGTTGAAGGTTAACAATATTGTTAATGTAGGGGCAATTTTGTCTTTTCATATGGTGTTGGGGTGAAAAAACAAAGAATTTTAAAAATATGGTGCAAAGTCCAATTTAGATAATAATTTGGGGTGCATGAATGCTTTTTAGATGAACAGCCCAACATATCAAAGAATCCAATTCTCAAGCCTATTTAGCCCAACATGTTTTTCATTTAATGAAACCAAAAAAAGCTCTAATGGCGGCCCAGAACGGTAACTTTCTGCCTCCGTTGTTTTCCAGCCTTTAAGTCAAGCACGCCATCTCCGGCCTCCAAGCTAATCTAATTGTACGAAACATTAAAACCCTAGCAGAAACCCCTCATCTCCACACTCGGATTCAGAAATCTACATATTATTATAGGAGAAAAGTAATGGCAGGAGGAAGGTTTAAACAATTGTTCAAGAAGTACGGAAAGGTAGCATTGGGGGTTCACTTTTCAGTTTCGGCCGCTTCCATCACCGGTCTCTATATCGCCGTCAAGAGCAATGTTGACGTCGAGTCCATGATCGAGAGAGTCGGCCTATTTAAACCCAAAGAAGAAGAACTGCCGCCTCAAAATCCGGAGTTGATCGGCGACGATCCGGCTGCTCAGCCGAAGGCGAGGAATCGGACTGCTGAGTTGGCGGCTTCCAGCGGCGGCGCCATCGCTCTTGCGGTGCTGCTCAATAAGGCCCTCTTCCCTGTTCGGGTCCCGATAACTATAGCTCTCACTCCCCCAGTCGCCAGGTTCCTTGCAAAGCGGAACATTTTTAAGAGCTCTGTATGAAAATTTTGTTTGTATCATCTATTTTGATCTTCTCAATCGCTGAAAGCTATCTATTTGTTCGTTGCAGATTTTTTAGCTTGTACTGAATACTGATAGATGCTAAGAACATAATCCATTTTGATTAAAGAAGAAATTCCCCATTGCAACTATTTGAACAGTGATGATATACATAAGCAATGACATTGTCAGCAATTAAATAAAACCTTTTTTATCTTCATTCAAATGAAGTCTTTATTTAAAAAGGATGACACCCCAGCTCCAGGAACGGCCAGACAATTATTTTGAAAGAAGGAAACTTGAGTTTTGATCACACTTAGATTGAAAGAGAGTGAGATTTCATCTCAAATCATTACTGGAGTTGAACCCAAGACCTCTTCCTTTGGCACCTTCTTGTTAGGTGAGTTGCACCCTGGTGTGAAGTCTTTATTATAAGGTCACTGTTAAACTTTGCCCTGGGAATTGCTGGCTTGCTGCCATTTAAATTTGCAGTAACTGATCAAGTGGTATGATTTGGTCTTATATTATATTCCTACTTCTTTCTTAGACAAACATCAAGAGGAACTTTGCTTGAAAATGTTGTGCTAAGCTTATGCAATCCAGGACATTTGAGTTGGATTTGATATAAGCTTCTGCATCTTCGTAAACTACTTGATTGAAATTATCAGTGTGCCTCACTGTTAACCTCTTTACCTCTTCAGAGCGTTTGGAACTTCTAGATGAAACTGGCACATATTGTTTAGTCTGGTAGGGCGTATTATATTCTTAGAAAACGTTTTTTCTTTTTGCAATTTCATTTTATGAATAAACAAGTTATTGAATAAATAGCAAGGGAAAATACAAACTATGCAGTATATTGTTAGAAAGGGTAGTGTAGTAAGTGAAATAATTTTGTGTCATTTTTACATATCTGTGCTAGACCAAGCTTGTGAAGATGTATGGGTTCAATACTCCAATATTTGGACCTTCCAATTACATACTTATTTTTGCTCTTTAGACTCCTATTTATTTGTGTTTGTTAAAATATTTGGAATGAAACTATGAAATGCCGAAGGCCTAAAAGAGAAACTGAAAAGTAAAGTGTGCGATTGCGAATATAAATACTGTAAAAAGAATATGGCTTCATTTAAGACGTTTGAAGTGATATTTTTATGTATTTACATTCAATTTGATAGTTATCAATTTTGTTTAAAAATTCCAACTAATCTCATTATCAACCAATCCTTGTTTTTATAATGGGTTTTTTCTAGTTTTGTATTTCATTTATGGTTTCTGGGTATTAGGAATGTATAAATATATGTCCCTGAATTGTTAGCAGGTAGTGGTGCATAACCTACATATACACAACCTCTAGTAAGGGGCCAACCCGCCTTGAACTGAATCCATCTATGGGTATTGTTTGTCTGTGTGTGGGTGTTTAAGAATGTGTATTGACTAGCTCGTGTTATGGTCATCAGGAAAACTAAAATTGAAATTGGCTCTATACTATGACATTACTTTGGCATTCACAGTTGAAGTTTAGTTTATGTTATGTGTTTCTAATTATACCGGTTTTCGTCTAAGATCAAATTAGAATTTCATAGTGATAAAAGACACACAAAACAAACATAAATAAGATCACATGAAAAAATAAGACCAGACCAATTCAAATCAAATTAAAAAAACACTCCTATGAGTTTTTGATGTACTATAACATATATTTTTGAAAAAAAACCCTATCTTTTTTCTGTACATGTCATTGCCACCTTCCTCGTATGATCAAGTATGGTGGTGCTCGTACAACAGTTCAATGCTGTCGGAATTCACACAAATATGGAATTGGTCACTTTCCAATTTCCCACTAAAAAGGGTTAAAAGGCTCGAACATAGGGATTGAAATGTAGTCACTAAATACTTGTAGTGAAGTAAATTTTAAAAAGCCGACATCTCATCTCTAAAGGTAGTTAGAAGACTCAGAACCAACTAAACGATTACACATTGATAGAGATAGGGATGACCTCGGGCTGGTTCGGGGCCTGGGCCCGGCCGGGCCTCGGGTCTGTTTTGTTGGGCCCGAGCCCGAACCGGTGGCCACCGGTTCCGGGCCGGTTCGCCAAAAACTGTAACCGAGCCCGGAACCGCCCAAGCCCCCGGGCCTAGGCCCGAACCGGACCCAGACCCGCACAGTAGTGGGCCGGGCCGGGCGGCCCGAACCGGGGCCATCCCTAGATAGAGAGAATGAGACCTCCATCAAGTTGAACCCATCTCTAAAGGTAGCCAAAATTGACCAGACGATTACACATTAATGGTAAGAGGTAGAGATGACAATGAGGCGGATCGAGGACGGTTATGCATATAACCGTACCCGCCCCGTTGGGTAACGTCCCCGCCCCGTAACCGCCCCATTACCCAACGGATAATTTTTATCCAAACCATATGCGCCCCAACGGGTAACGGGTAAAATCGCGGGTAACCGCGGGTTACCACTTTATTAGATATGTCATAGATATTTTAATATAAAAATAAATATTTTAAAAGACAAAAAAAAGATATCGCCTAAATGATTCTAGACGTGAGATGTCACTTAAAAGTTTCGTGCATCTACAAGACAAAAAAAAGGCAACCTAAAATAATTTGAACATTAAATACTTAAATTGAAAAATAATTAATCAAGAAAAAGGAAAAGAATCAAACGAAACTATTAAAATTTATTATGAACTTTGTTCACATACGTAGTATTAGTGCATCCATAGATACACATTGAAAGGAGAAAAATGTCACATTTTATCAATCATAGGACAAATACTATGAAAAAATATAATCAAAATATAACTAAAAGCAAACGGGGCGAGTACGAGGCGGGTAATGGGGCGAGCATGTATAAAACTGTAACCACCCCGTTACCCATAAAAATAAAACGGGTATTCCCCGTCCCATGCCCCCATACCCGTTACCCAGTCAATACGGTTTTCCCCGTTTTGACCGGAGCGGTTCGGTGCGGGTATCCATTGGATCACCACAATTGCCATCCCTAGTAAGAGGGAATGAGACCTCCATCAAGTTGAACTTGGGACCTTTTCTTTGCGACACCCTCTTCCTAGATCCTACTAAGTGTGCTATGCCCAGTACCAATTTTAGCTACTTGTGGACCTCTCCAAGGACTAATTTTATAATGGCCACTACCTCTTTCTTGATTTTAGGAATCTACTAGTCTAATCTGTTTAAATCTGATCTAGTCTAATACGGAGTAAATGTTTGTTCTTCATGTACTTCATAACTAAAGAAGTTTGATACTCCCCCGTCCCTTAAAACTTTGCCAACTTTCTTTTATTGGATATCTAACTAACTTTGCCACTTTTCTTTCATGTAAAGAATTTGTGGTTCCAGTTTATTCTCTCTACTCTGCACAAAACTCAACCACAATATTTTTACTTTATTAATCCTCGTGCCAGTCAAACTTGGCAAAGCTTCAAGGCACGGAAGGAGTGACATAATCTATTTAAATAAACAGTCTGATCTGTTCTGTTTAAGTTTGGTCTGGGCCTGAAAACAGCCCAAAAGCAAAATAACGGTAAAAATCTATGGGCAAAAAGTGCAGGCCCGGTATTTGTCCAAGATTTGCAAAAATAAAACCAATATGACTGGTTACGCAGTAAAAGATAAGCAAAGAAAAATCAAAAGAATCAATTCTTAGTGCGACAAGTAACACTTCAATACACAAGCAAAGACCACCCTTCTTAGTCTGATGTTGATATAGGGATATGTATGACGATGTAATAATAGAAAAAGATGCAGACACATTGCAGGTGTTGGTACACTAAAGAAGCAGTCAAGCAAACTCTCTTCTTCAAAAGTCATCATCATCCTCCTCAGCAATGTGCTTGGCAAGTTCTTGTTCTTGCTGCTGTCTCTCTCTCCTTTTCTCCGCACTCTCTTTCTCCTTGTGGGAATTAGGAGGGAACCGAAGGGCACGAACTGCCTCATTGTGCATGTTAAGACAGAACGAAATTCTGGAGTTGAAAGCCATCTGAGGCTCATTCGTGGAGTATACATCCCCTGTCTCCTTGGACACCATATACCCATTAGTGTGATCCAATGTGGCATCTATCGCCCCGTCCCGAATAGCTTTGGCCACTATGCACTCCGCATCAGCGATAGGGTTTGCAGAATCCAACCTTAGCTTCTTTGCCACGTCAGCTAATGAGATTCTCGAGTACGCAATGCTGATGTTGCGTAACCCTGTACGAATGACATTGTGTCGGAGCCTGACAATCAGATTGTTGGTCCTGTCCATGCTAAAAGTGGATGAGAACTTCTCAGCTACTGACCTAAACAACTCCAAATCTCCAATGCGGACAGCCTGAAGAAACAGTGATCGTTATTAGATGCATATATGTTTACAGAGTATGGTAGGGAGAGAAGTAGGGATATGAAGAGTAGAAGTAGGTAAGAAATAAAAGTTGTTTGGGTTAAAGAGAAATGGAGAAGAACACTACTCTGTTATATTCAAAGTGGCTTTGAATATAATGATGGTATTCACATTCAATTCTACATGTAGCAATAAGTCCATAGAAATTCCCCTTCATTTCCTCTCAGTTTACTAGCATTTTAGCATGGAAATCGTAGGTTTGGAACACTAATGTTGTCACAAATTTCTACCATTTCTCTTTTATACGAACCAAGAAATAATTTGCAAACGCAAAAATCCCTTCCTTTATCTCCTCTTCAAATATTTTCATTCTAATTCCTTTGTAATTTGTTATAGTATCAGAGTTCTCGAGAAGTCTTCATTGTTTGATAATAATTCGAGTAAAGTTAAAAAATGTAGAGTAATACAAGGGAAAAATAATAGGAAGGAGAGCAAGGAGAAAATTTGGAAAAAGAGGAAATGTGGAGTATGATAAAAGATGGGCTACAAGTCTACAACAAAATAAATTTATTTAATATTTTTTATACCCATTTTAATCATCTGTGTTTATTAAATAATTACAATGAAAACTGCACATTTGGCAATTTAAGGAAAGAATACTCATGGTTAATTCTCTGCTTCATTTTACAGAGTAAAATGAAACACATAAAAATGTTCATGTCCCTTAACCTAGAACTAACCTTGATTCAAACCTAAAGTACGAGTGTTCAAGCCCTAGCCCCACATAAAGCTTGAAGAAGGCAATGTGGAGACCACCAAGTGTTGTTTTG